AGATCGACCTGGCCGACGAGGTGAAAGTGAGGAAGCGGGAGATGTTGTCGGAGGCTGCTGCGGATGGAGGACATGCTGGACCATCGTGCGCTACGTGGTCTCGGTTACGTTTCCAATCAGGAGGGCCCCCCCCCCCCGCTACGGCTGCGAAGCCATCTCTGGGGGCGACCTGGGCTACGAGGGCAGGATCTACGAAGCGCGAAGCTGGGGGCTGCGCAGTTGCCGAGCAGTCTGAGGATCCGGCGGGCCATCGGGCGGAAGGGCGGCTCGGTCTTGCTCGAACATCCTGCCGATCCCGGAGCACCCCCTTTCCCCTCCATCTCATCGCCGAGGAGCTGCTGAGCTGGGAGAAGGAGCTAGGTGCGTACTGGGTGACGCTCCCGCAGTACATGTGGGGATGCCCAGCGCTGAAGATGACGACCCTAACGCGCGCCGCCAAGCAGATGGAGCGCCCCCGCGCGTCCACGAGACGCACCTGGCGAGTCTACGCGGGAAGGGCGACTCATGGAGGTTTCGAAGTCGAGCGGCGCAGTGCTATCCTTCGGAGTTCTGCAGGATGCTGACGGAGTGCCGCGTGGACGCCGCGTTGACCAAGTGCGAGAGACGGGAGACTGAGCTGACCGAGCGCGCCATCCAGGAGATGATGGCGGACACGCTGGAGCGGAGGCGCCGAGGTCGAGCGCCTGCTTGCACGCTGCCTCCATCCTTCGCTGCAGCTGCTGGTTGAGGACTTCATGGGCCGTCGTGCTCAATTCCTGGGGCGGGGCCTTTGGGGGTCACCCAGGCTCGGCGTTGCCTCATTCTTGCCAGATGGGAGGCCAGAACCCCTCGGAGAGTCTAGGCACTGATCACCCTCGACGGCGAGGGCAGACGGTGTCTGGCTTCGAGGGGCAGTGTCGCCACGTTGTGAGCTCAAGAATTGGTCAGTATCCCTCGGAGTGTCTGGGCGCCGGTCACCCTCGTGGCAGAGGGCAGACGGCGCCCCGCTCCGAGGTTCAACGTCGCCACGTGATTCGCCGAAGCTGGGGGGTTCGAGACTGGATCGACACCTCCGTTGGATGCTGGCGAGCTCCCTGGCGACCCCCGCGATGGCGGCCCCCGAGGAGAGGCTGCGGCACCGCGCTCAGGACAAGAAGACGGGGAATACCCATCGCCGGAACGAGGCTGGGCGCAGCCATTCGGTGGACGTGGGCACCCGCGTGCGAGTCGAGGGGGGCCTGTCTTTGCCGCCGTTTTCTGTCGCGGCCAAGACGGCGCTGGGCTGCTACATCCCCAGCGCTCGGCGCTCCTTGCAGTGCGCCCTGCAGCGTGAAATACAATGGGGAAACGCGACGACATCCACTGCCCGGTCCTAGTCTACCTGGGCGAGCTCGTGGAGGACGAGGAGGTCGGCCCCCGCAGGGGGGACTTCGTGGTGCACGGCTTGGCCTACGCGTGGCCCGAGCTGAGCGCCGGTTTGCCGAGGGCGAACCGCGCGCTGAAGGCGTGGCGTCGCATGCGCGTGGCCAGAGAGGGCGGGCCCCAATCGCGGGAGCTCTGGGCGGTGCTGCTGGAGACGGTGCGAGCTCCTTGGCAGGGCGAGGTCGCCGAGGGGTTCGAGCTGGCGCTGGACGCCCACCTCTCGGCCGATCTCTTCAGCCTGCGAGTCGGGGACGTGATGGTCACCGACGGCGCCGACGGGGACCCCGTGGTCGCGCTCCACCCTGGGGTGATCGAGCGGGGCGAGCGCGCCGAGACGGGCGCGAGGCAGGGCGCCCTGATCGACCGCGAGCACGTGGCCCAGGTGGCATTGCGACGGCGAGGTTTGATAAAGCTGGACAAGCTACTCTTCGGTGTGACGGCTGACCGCTACCGACGCGTCCTATGCCAAGCTTGCGCTGACCGCTACCGACGCGTCCTATGCAAAGCTCACTCGGCCCGCCACTCTGGACTGAGCCACGACGCAGCAGTTGGCTACAGGACGGCATGGCAGATACAGCGGAGAGGGCGGTGGGCATCGGAGAAGATCGCGGTGACAGATTTGAAGATCCACGCCCTGGCTGCAGCAATACATCCTCGAGAAACGTGCAGAGCTGCTCCGCGCCAGTCGGCGCCCTGAGCAGGCGCGAGAACGATGAGGTTTCGGCCAGTGAAAGGTTCGCTACAGTCGATTTTTTGGTTAACGTATCAGTTGCGGCCGCATCTGTGCGCCCTCCCGCCCAGCCCAGCACATCGCGGCCAGACGCTGGTGATGCGGCGGCGTGGGCTAGCGGGGCCAGGCCGCGCGTCGCGGCAGGCCCGAAGGTCCACCCACCAGCGCATGACATTCGCCTCAGCGTCATGCATGAGGCCTCGTGCTGGAGGAAACTGTTTGGCATGAGTTAGCTGGTGCCACCTTCCGCCACCCCCCCTCTTACGTAAGGTGATGTTGACGGGTGCCTCTAAATATGTGTTGTCCTTGGACTATGACTTACGGGTACCTCTAATCTGTTGCTGTCGCCATTTGGGGGTTGAGGCGTGGACCCGGGGGAAGTATCGAGCGGGAGCCTCGTCTGTGAGGGACTTATGATGAGGTTTCCGGCGGGAACCACATCCCTATGGGGCCGACAGCTCATGGTAGCAATCCGAGCGGGTTATCGAAATCATGGACTTGTCACCCAAATCCAGTATTTGTTGGGGTTGTCCCGGCGGCTTGATCCAGCGCCCCAGCGGCGTGCGGGAATTGTTTCGGTGACCTGGCCTACGGGGTTGCCCCAGCGGTTTCGCGATCTGGCTGTCGGAATACGCGTCCCAGCCGGCCGCGGCGGCGACGGCGCCAGGGGAACATCGACATGCGCTCCCGTGCAATGGGGGCGGGGGAGGAGGTGCACGAGGAAAAGGGGCAGCAGGAGGAGGAGGAGTAGGAGGAGAGGTGACGGAGGAGGAGGAGGAGGAGGAGGAGGACGAGGACGAGGTGGAGGAGGAAGAGGAGGAGAAATAGGAGGAGTGAGAGGAGGGGGATGCAGAGGAGGAGGAGGAGGACGACGACGACGAGGACGAGAACGCGGAGGAGGAGGAGGAGGAGGAGGAGGAGGAGGAGGAGGAAGAGGGGGAGGGCCAAGAAAAGGTGGAGGAGGAGGTAGCGGGGGAGGCCGAGTGGGGGGCGGAGGACGGCCTTTGCCAGAGCGATGAGGAAATGGCGAGGGGGAGACAGGAAGAGGTCTATCACGAGGACGATGGATTTCGGAGGATTCTCATGCGTGGTCCCACCGTCGGAGTAATGGGCCACATTGGAACAATGTCGTGCCGTCTGAGGCTGTCGGAAGCTCGAAGTGGCGAGAACGCCCAAATCGTTGGAATAGGCGCCGAAACCATTGGAATACGCGCAAGGGGCCTCCTGGGGGTATGCTGGAGCCGTGTTGGGGGCTACTTGCATCTTATTCTTCTTCTTGAGGCCGTGTTGGGCCGTCGTTTTTGCAATGTTTAGCGTCTCGGGGGCATATTGGGCGAACTTGCTGGCCTCTGGGACACCTGTGAGCCATCTTGGAGGTCATCTTGGAGCCATCTTTGGGCCAGCTTGAAGGTGAACACCGTTACCTGAATTCTTTTCTGTATGGCGGCTGGCTGGATCTGCCGAGCCACTTCTGAGAGTCTGTCGGAGGTTTCGGTACGCCAAACACCTGTGTGGCAAACGCAGGGGGCGGCGGATCGAGTGACCTTCGGCCCATCCCGTCAGCTTGCCTGGGTTGTGAGTCGGAGGCCCCTTGAACGCGTCTTAGGGTCTCTTGGGATTCTGTGGGGGTCTTTGCAGGGCTCTTGGGGGGCCTCTTCATGGACCTTGAGGGCCTCTTCGGGCCCCCGTGGGGCGTCTCGGGAGCCTCTGGGGGGACCTTGGGGCCATCTTGGGGATTTCGGAGTGGAGGGTTCGAGAGACCCCTTCGCTTTCTCCCTCCTTGGGGCCGTCGTGGGGACCTCCTGGGCTGGTCTCGGGGAAATCTTGGCCCATGTTGGGGTCGCTTGGGCTGCGGCTTGGGGGTGTCTTGGGCATCTGGGGGTACTCTTGCGCCGTTCTCGTGCGCTGGAAACCAGAACATCAAAAAAGCTGGAATATCCTTCGAAAACGTATGGCGTATGGGGGTCATCGATTTTGGCTCTCGTGGGCCATCTTGGGAATACTGTCGGAGTCCTTTCGGGGCGTCTTGGGGGGCTCTGGAGCCGTCTTGAGGCCATCATGAGCCGTCTCGAGAAGCTTTGGGGCAGACTCCGAACCCCTTGGACTGTCTTGGCGGCCTCTTGGCATCCTCATGGCCTGCCTTGGGTCCCCACGAAGTCCGGGGAAAAATATGGCGACACATCTCAAAGGGCACGTGGTGAGCCCAAGACAATCCAGGATTTGGGCCTCTGGACTCCTAAACGAGTCTTCGATTCGATGCTCAAGGTTGGGGGCTCTGGATGATCTCAGGACAGTCCAGTCAGTATCTCGCGGCACGGTGGCGGATAAGGCAGGGTCAAGTGTGAATCAATTGGAACATCGGTTTGAGCGTGTTTCCATTGCGAATGAATTGCGGCTCGGCGGTGAGTAGGTTGGGGCCACCATGGAACCGGTGCATAGTTCATGGCAGATGCTGGTTGCGGGTGCAGAATCACCCAGTGTGGTAGACGCATACGACAGGCGGCGGTTTTGGCCCGGCGACAGCGACATCCACCAAATCCTTATCGTTCGGACTTTCTTCATTCGAGTGCGTCCCAAGTGCGTTGTTGCTTAATACGTGCCTACTTGCCGTCGGTGTGCTCTGCTAATGGCTGCATATTGTATAAGTGCGCGTCGCAGATTGAAGACGCAGTTTTCTGGAACGAGCTGTTGGCCACCATCCTGCAATCTACTCCAGCCAGTGAGTGTTTCGCCCAGCATGTGCACAGAGTTACTCGTGCTTGCTCTGCGAACGGTGAGACTATGACCCATACTTAGTTTTGGTCCCGCCCATCTTTTGCGATTTTGCGCAGCCTACCCGTGTGGCCGTTGGCCATCTACCGATTTTGAGATGATGTGTTTCTCTGGAGCAGTCATGCCCCTCGGGGCACTCAGCGGCACGAGGCCCCCAGACACCTGTGGCACGATGCCGCTGGCCGACATTTCGCTCCCGAACAACACCCGCTACATCGGCCAGGATAGGGCGACGGGTTCTATACATACTCGCTGCCCCAGGCTTGGTCCGTCTTGGGCCCAGGAGCGGTGTACATGCTTCACTGGCCAAGCCAGGAGGGCGAATACACCGCTCCTGGAAAGGCCAGGCCTGGGGCAGCGGAGATGTATTGATCCCGTCGCCCTACAGGAGGTGCCCGACGCGTGCACCGTCGCCGAGTGGAAGAGACTCCTGGAGGATCAGAGGGCGGGGTGCCCCCTCGCCCTCTCCTCGTGCCCTCCCTCTCTCTCTCTTCTGGTTTGCTTCTCCAGCGCCAGCCTACTCCTCCTCAGTCCTCCTCCTCCTGTCCTTCCTCCTTTCCTCCCCCCTCCCTCTTCCTCCTCTCTCTCTCTCTCTCGGTTGTTTGCCCTCCATGCTTCCTTTCTGCCTCCTTCATGGGCGACGGGTGGATCAACATGCCGGGCGGCCCTTTGGAGGCGCTTGAGCCGGCCTTGCGATATCCTCGCCGCGAAGTGCACCTTATCCGTCACCAACCCGTCGTTGTAGAGGTGGCGCATGAGGGCCAGTCTCAGCTTTGAGCTCATCCTGCGGACGACGTGGTGGCCGATCGACGAGTGGGCCTCCTGGGGCCCGAGGTGGAGCCGCGATCAAGAGCGGCCGGCCGAGTTCGGGGACTTGGGCGAGGCCGCCGCAGTGTAGTCCTATTCGTGAGTGATCGGGCCCAGTCGGTCGTCGTCGTCCGTAGTCGTAGTCGTCGTCGTCGTCGCCGTCGTCGTCGTCGTCGCCGACTAGGCTCGATGCTTCGATGGTTCTCTTGACAAATTCAGGATTCCTCTTCTATTGCTCTTACTCCTGAAGCCCACCCCCGTTGAATTCTTCAACTCATGTTTTTGCCAGGATGCTAAACGGTATCGCTCGGCGCCTCCGCCCATCGGGGATAATCTCATTAATTCGAGTGCTGGTGATAACGCCGGGGGAAACGGTCATTGCATCGCACGGTTCTTCTTCGTGTTGTCCTGCTCCCCCCCCAGTCTCCCTCCTTATTCGGAGCGGCGCACTCCATTCCGCCGAACCCCCAGGGAGGGCCTCTCTTGGAGGGCTCTCGGGGGCATCCGGGGAGCTATTCGGGGCTTCTTGATGGTCCTTTTTTGGGGCTTCTTGCGAGCCCCAGTGGAGGGGCACTTCGGGAGTCTCTGGGCTGAGGGGGAAAAGCTCGACAGATCAGTTCGTGTTCCACTGTTTGTGGGCCCCCCCATCAAGGCCCTCCTGGCGCTCGTTTGGGCCGCCTTGGTGCCCGTTGGGGGTCATCGTGGGCCGCCTTGTGAAGATCTTAGGGGCTCCTGGGGCCGTCTTGGACGTTGCAATTAACCCCCCAGTCTCATCGCCTCCTCCCCTTTTCCGTTCCCCCTCATCTGGGCCTCCCTTTACATCCTCTCGGTCTCGCTTGCTCTCCCGCCCCCCTCCGCCCACAAAAATCGCCCCCCTGGCCTGTCCAAGAGCGCGTTCTGGCAAGAATTCGGACTGGAGTCCAGCCGTGGCAGTGGGGTCGTCCCAGGAGAATTTAAACATCCCGAAGGCGTCGAACAACCTCGGGCCTCGATCCTTCATCCCTTCCGCCCAGGACGGCCGCCTGGTCGGGGAGAAGATCTTGTGGGCCCGGCGCCTTCGGTGCAGCGCGGGCGGCATGGCGGCGGAGGCGCTGGAGGAGGGCGCGGGGGCTCCAATGTGCGCCTCCGCCGCAGCCCCTGCGCCCCAACATCCGTCCCCCCAAAACCCGCTCGCGTGTAAATCGCTGCGATTTGGTGTTGTGTATTTATCCCTTCCCCATGGGCCCTCACGAGGCCCCAGGGCCGCAAGAAAGGGCCCGGGATGAAAACGAGGTCGAGGCCTCCAGGGCTCACGTTACGTAATAAAGCTCGACGTCGGGTGGCGGGATTCTGCCCTCTTCTTCTCTCCTCCCTGCCCCTCTGATCTTCGTCCCCTCCCCGTCCCCATCGATGGAGAGGGAGGGTGGAGGGAAATAATGAGGGGGAGAGGAGCGTAGAGGAAAATTCGGGCCCGCTCCGGCTCCAGTTTCATTTCCCGTCGAAAGATGGTGCCATGGTTTGGTGACACAAGTATATTCCACCTCTGGGCCATGTATTGGTGCCAGTCCGAAACCACGGGAACGTCATTTAAGGCCTTCCCTTGGAGGATGCTGACGCGCTGCCTACCCAGCCGCAGCCAGTTTTCGTCTACGGACCAGACTCTGTGATCACGATGTTGGACTCTTTCCTCAGCAGGGCTTGATCATGATCGGGGCTTCTTCAGCACACCCACTGGTAAGGTGATACGGAGGCGTGGACGAGTGCAAGTTTCGGATTGCGCCTGGCGTGGGATCGGATTCGCAATCTATTGATCGAGAGATCGCGGCATATATATACACACACATGTACACATATTCCTGGACAGCGCGCAGAGAGCTACTATGGTTTCATATTAGAAGCTGGCAGCGCCAGGTGGCCTGGAAGCTCTTTCCGGCGCCGGGCAGGCATCCCCGCCGACTTGCTTGACCCTCAAGCGTGTCCCGAGAAGCGTATTCTTAATCGTTCCCACTGCGCGTTCCGGAATCTTTTCCGCAGCTCCTTCGAAGCTCCTTGGGAGCTCTTGCGAAGTTCCTTTCTCGAGCTTGCAAGCTTCCCAGACATCCTTTGAAGCAACCTTACATGCGTCTCCTATCGAGCTTGCAAGCACCCCAGACATCCTTTCAAGCGTTCTGGCAGGCGTCGCCTCGAGGCATTTCATGCGCTGTAGACTACGTCGCTATCCGGTTTGGGACGCTACATGTGTATACGCATGCATGCATACATACATGCATACATACACACATGCATGCATATGTATATACAGATGCATATTTGTGTATATATATATATGTGTGTACGGAGCGCATGCCCCCCCCTCAGGGCGCCCCCTACCTCGGGAGCATCTTCGGCAAATCTCCAGTACCGTGGAGAGTTTCGGGATGGTCCAGGACGGCTCCGAGACAGCCCTCAAGGGCTCTCAGACGGCCCAGGACAGTGTGTGTGTATGTATATATATATATATATATATATATAAGTGTGTGTATGTGATTACACACATATATATACACACCGACGGCCAAGAGACTCCCACGAGCACCCAAGACAGTGCCAAGAGGCTTCCAAGAGGCCCCAAACCCCGCCCAAAAGACCTCCAGGGAAGCCCTCGAGACACCAACCCACGGCTCCAAAACAGTCATGTCTGCGTTATCGCATTTTCGCCTCAGGTGCGCTTCCGAGGCTTGCGCATGATCCCCAAAATGGGCCCAAGATACCTCCAAGAGACTCCCCTTCAAGCGGCCCCAAGCGACCCCTATAGGCCACCAGGACGCTCGAAGAGGCACCCACGAGGCCAGAAAGAGGCTCGCAAGTGGCTCCGAGAAGAACCCAGGAGCCGCCCAAGAGGCCCCGTACAGGCTCCCAGAAACCCAAAGAGCGCACAAGAGACCCCAAGAACGCCCCCAAGAGACTCCAAGAGCTCCCCGAGACCCCCCAAGAGGCCCCCAAGAGTCCACCAAGAGACCCCTACGAGATTTCGCAACAGGCAGCAGGAAGATTTTGGAGACACCCAAAAGCCGCCCCAGGAGACTTCCGCGAAGCATTTTCTCTCCTCATCCAGCCCTCCTCCCTGATCCCTCTCTCCTCCTCCTTTTCCTCCGTCGTGTCCCTGTCCCTCCTCCCTCCGCCTCATCTCTCCTTCACTCCTTCCGCCCTCCGTCTCCCTCTCCCAGCTTCCTGCCTCACCAAGCGGTCGGATACCCAGTTGGGAAACAAACCAGCACATCGCCGTTTTCAAGTTCCACCCCCCAGAATGCGTTTCCGTCTCTCCCATCCCTCGCTGGCCGCTTCCATTGGTTATCCCTTGCTTCCAATTTCTCAGGTTTCGCCTTCTTCTCCTTTTATGTTTCCTACATGCGTAGTGGGGTTATTGGTTTCTTTACACCCGCGTCGCGCCCGCGTTCACGCACCCGCCTCCCCTCCTCACCTTTCCTTGCCTCTCCTCGCCACTCCTCTTCCACGCTCGACACACACACACACACTACATCTGCATACACACATGCACACCTCCTCCTGACGCATCACACGAAACAGCCGCATGCAACACACGCACGGCGGGCTCGCAAAGCGCGGAAAGCGCTGCACTTCCTCGACACCACCAGAGGTGCGCTGGGGGTGGGAGCGCTATCCGTTTCGGGCTCGCAAGGCCTGGCAGCGCTGACGTTAGGAACGCTATCTGTTTCGGGCTCGCAAAGCGTGGCAGGCGTGGCACTTCCTCGACACCACCGGGGGTGCGCTAGGGGTGGGAGCGTTATCCGTTTCGGACTCGCAAAGCTTGGCAGGCGTGGCACATTCTCGACACCACAGTGGGTGAGCTGGGGGTGGGATCGCGCTATCCGTCTCGGGCTCGCGAAGCGTGGCAGGCGTGGCACTTCCTCGACATTGCCAGGGTGTGCGCTGGCGATGGGGCACTATCCGTTTCGGGCTCGCAAAGCGTGCAAGGCGTGGCACTTCCTCGACACCACAGGGGGTGCGCTGTGGGTGGGAGAGCTATCCGTTTCGGGCTCGCAAGGCCTGGCAGGCGTGGCACATCCACGACACCACAGTCGGCGAGCTGGGGGTAGGAACGCAAAGCGTGGCAGGCGTGGCACATTCTCGACACCACAGGGGGCGCGCTGGGGGTGGGAGCGCTTCCGTTTCGGGTTCGCAAGGCCTGGCAGGCGTGGCACATCCTCGACACCAGAGGGGGTGAGCTTGGGGTGTGAGCGTTATCCGTTTCGGGCTCGCAAAGCGTGGCAGGCGTGGCATTTCCTCGACACCACAGGGGGCGCGGTGGGGGTGGGAACGCTATCCGTTTCGGGCTAGCAGAGCCTCGCAGGCGTGGCAGTTCCTCGACACCACAGGGGTGGTGGTCTGTGAGCGCGGTAGCGACTCTTTGCGCGACGTGGAAGGCCCAGCCAGCTGGTGGGGTGAAACTGGCGGTTCGCTAGTAACGCCCAGTCTTTTGCCTTTCCTGGATCCTCTCATGGTACTCAGGCTCCCAAGGCTTGACCGGCGCCACCAATGGTATCGGCGACGCAACGGCCACTTGCAGCATTCTCGAAAATTCCACGTCAGCTATCAGCACGCCACACATATTATAGGTATGTGGGGTTCTTCTGTAGCGTAATTTGATGATCTCTTTCCCCTGTTTTGTTCATTCCCTATTCCCTCCACGCCATCTCTTCTTTATTCTTTCCGCCCTCCGCCTCCCTCACACGGCTTGCTGCCTCACGAAGTGGTCGGAGCCCCAACTCGATCAGACATGGAGTTGTCGCACTTCCATTTGCTTGTCTCAGGTTCTCCCCTTCTCCATGCATACATGTCCCTATCGCTGGCATGCCAAAGGCTTTTCTTCCAGCTTTCCCATCCCTCGCCCTACGATATCAGTTTTTTGTTGTTTGTTTCTCTCTCTCTCTCTCTCTTTCTCGTTCCTCTTCTTGGTCTTCCTCCTCTTCCTCCTCTTCCCGCTCCTCCGTAGCCTTTCTGGCTCAAGATGCCATATTCCATGGGGAGAAGGATGGATACCGTTAGTTCACGGCCAAAGTTCGTCTTTCGGCCTATATTCCCATGTCCGGATTTGGGCACCAGAGTGTTCAGACGCATTTTACTCACGTTTGACAGGGCACACTCGTTTGCGATGGTACATATGAAGCGTTTCCAGGTCCTCCGCTAGCCAGTGCAGATGCCCGAGAAGATCAAACAGGAAACGACAAAGCAAGTCATATTGCAGGGAGCTGGTCGCTCCTCGCCGGGTACGCAGAGCTGCAGAGACTCAGTCGTCGCTGGGATCGTGCTCGAGGGTTCATCCCAAGTCGCCGCCTCCTTCGGCCAGGTCTTGTCGAGAGCGTGATCGCCGTAATCGTGATGATGCTGGCGATGGGGATCTGTTGGATGCCCCCCCCATCGATAAGAAGTTGCATCGGGAACTCGGTTTCGCGAACATTTATCTTCATGATAGAAACTTAGGTCCGCCTACGCCAGTCGGCGCCGCAGCTGGTCATGTCGAAGAGAAGTTCCTTCCGCCCTGGTGGTCGGCAGGCAGCGCCTGTCGATCTATGGGCGTTATTTACCATGAGCAGTTTATATATATATAGAAACAACAAAAACGCCCTGGTGCCCATGGCAGAGAAAGCAGCGGAGGCGCTCAAAGCTAAGTTTCCCGCGGCACTGGTGGCAGCTACGGGTCCGCTACTCAAGAATGTGGAGGACAGGCTGACGCAGCAAATTGGTCGGCCCCACCAGATATGCGAGACGGTTGAGAAAAATAGGCGTGACGTTTCATATGTACAACAGATATTGTGAAAATGTTGGCTCGCTGGGAAAAAGGACCTTGACTTGGCTCGTGCTCGTCACAAACTATTTCTTCAACGTGCTCACGATTGAGAACGCGAGTTGGACCGCCGTATGTTGCGCATGCGGTGCCCTGAGGTTTTCAGACATTTCGAGGTCCAAACGTCGCTCAAGAACTGGGTGGAGGAGGTGGGCGTCAGCTCCGGGAAGGAGGTGGGAATCGATGGTCGTGTTTCTACAGAATTTGCAACGGTTCCGCCCGCGCGTTGGCGCCAGCTCACGACGCGCGCGAGCCGCGACGACAGGGCCTTCGCGTCGCCGCCCGGGCGGGCGCTCTGCCCGTCGTTCCCGCGAGCAGGTGTCGCGCGTGAACCAGTTGGAATTGCTGGGGCGAGCCCGGCAGACCATCCGCCTTTGGTCTTTCCGCGGGGGGCCCGAGAACAGCATTCGGCATCGAGGGTTCGCTCGATAACAAAAGCCATCTACTTCGAGCCGTCGTTTGGGGAGCTTGTCCAGGAAAATGAAGAGCTACTGGGGGGCGGCCCGCCTCGTCTTCATTTCCAGGTGATATAGCGTCGCCAGACTGCCGCTGCTGCTGCTACCCCGGCTGCGCGGGACCCCGCGATTTCGACCGCCCCCCTCTTCGTCTTCTTTCCGCGCCCTGTTCGCCCGGCCCGCGGCCCAGGTGGTCTGGCGAAACAGCGATGATCTAGCTGAATCCTTGGGCCGGGCAGTTCACGGGGGCTTCCGGCGGCGCCGCGGCGTTCGAAGATTCTGGCGACAATCGCGATTTATTCGCTCGCCTTCAGCGGCGAGAGGCCACGGCGGCAAGGGGCGGGGGGGGGGTCGAGCGGGGGGCGCCCGGGGGGGGCGCCCCAAGATCTCGGGCCATGAAAA